ATACAGTTTGTTTTTGAAATGGTTTTTACATAAATTAAGTTTAAAATTAATTATTAGACAGATCACTAAAGAAAAATGAATTATTTTGGTGTGAGCTTATAATGTCAATATAAAGGACTAATTTATCTGATAGTGTTCCTTGTTAGATGAAAGTTGTATTTTTTTCTAATTTTTACATTTGGCATTATTACAATAATCTCATTTAGTTCAAAGACAGAGTAACCTTTACAGAGTTTGGTTTGATTGGTTACCCTTTTTTAATGACTAACTTTTGTGTTAACTGTTTGCACAGCTTAAAGCTCAAAATGATCGAGAAACACAGAGTATGGATGTCATATTTACCGAAAGACAAGCGTAAGTTCAGATTCATAAATGAGTTTTGATACATGGTTTAACTTGTGAGTCATTTATTTCCTTATAAAATTTAAACTTTTTCTCTTATGTTGCTTTTTTAAATTAATTAACTAATTGTTAGATTCTTACGAGGCAATATCTTACTCTGTAGTGTAGGCTATTTTAAACTCACAAGGATCTTCCGGCCTCAGCCTCCTAAGTGCTGGGACTACAGATAAGAACCACACCTGGGCTGGTGTGTTAGTGCACGCCTTTAATCCTAGCACTTGGGAGGCAGAGGCAGGCAGATCTCTGTGAATTTGAGGCCAGCCTGGGCTACAAATTGAATTTCAGGATAGCCAGAGCTGTTTCACAGAGAAACCCTGTCTCGTTAAAACAAAACAAAATAAAACAAACAAATGAATAAAAAACAAAACAAAATAAAACAAAAAAACCACAACTGGCATCTTAGTGACCTCTTACAGTTAAAATATTTATTTGTAGTAGAAAATGTATCATTTTTTCTTAGTTTACCATAACATCTCAATACAAAATTTATCTTAATGTCAAATATATGCTATCTTAATTTACTCCCAAGGAGCTAAATTTTATACAAAAGAAAAGACTACTTAATTCTATAAATATGATTTCTGCTTCTAAGAACTTAAACTCTAAGATGAATTATGTCTTTATATCTACTCTTAGATCTTACCATAGGCTTTTAACAAGTTTGAATTATGGCATTTTAGTTCTACTTTAATGAAGAAGTTATTAGTCAGTAGGCTTTGTACATTAACTGGCATTGATTATAATTATACTAGTATTCTCTATGCTGTCTATAGATTATGTGTATTTATACATAGCTTATTTAGAAAGACTAAATATGAACTAGCTTTGATTTCAGTAGTAAAATGCAACAATAATCCCTACAAAGATAATAAATGTGAATTAAAATAATTTTTAAAATTAGTTTTGAACCACATTAGATACAGCAGCGTATGGTAAGGTAAATGTAAAAGTTGAGCTATGGTGTATAAACATATGTATAGTATTCTGTTCCAGAAGCTTACTACTGTTAATCTGTTTGAGAGCAAGAATAATTATTAACCAAAATTATTGAACTTTATTAACACCAAATATACTCCCATATTACTTCTATAGTAAATAACCTGATGAAGAATAGGTTGTTTAATATAATGAGGAAATATTTGGAAGAGAAATAGAATTCATCTGTTGATTAGAAACAAAGGAGTATCTTTCCCCACCAATCATTAATACTGCTATACATAGTTTTCTTAAGTATGGAAAAGCTGGCAGCCTCTTCCTTATACAAAGAACACCAAGCTCTTTTTTGAAAGGTTTTCTTGCTTCCTTTCCTCTCTTTTCCTTCCTGCTTTGAAACCATTGAGCAAACATATACCATTTACTTACTGTATGCAAGATACTCTTCTAAGTACTAGAAAAATTACATATGCAAACATATAAGCTGTAACTTTGAATGCTTCAAAGAATTTAAGATTTATGTGTCCCTATTCCATTATCTCAGAATTTATGCTAATACCCAAGTTGTATATATAAATTTTACAGTTACATGTTTTAAAAGTATATCTGCTAGAAATAAAAAGTAAAAATTTTGAAAAGTATTTGGTCACTAGGCTTAACCTTGACTATGTTTAGAGGAACTAAGAAAGATCATACATATAGACAGCATATGGCAAAAGCTTCCATTTTTGCCATCACTTAGTGTGGCTTGATTCTCTGGTTTATTATGGAAAACCTGTCCAGTATAAGCTAGTTGTAGGTATAGCCTCAGCATATGATTGCAACAATATTTGCATATTAAATATATGATTTTAATTGAGTTATCCGGCTAGTTTGGCATTGGTCAAGATCAGTTGTCCTTTAAAAGCATATTAGTTACAATTTTATATTAATTTATTTCTCCTCAGTCAGATATTTACTAAATACCCAATAATGAACTGTTGAGTATAAGAGATCAGGTGCAATCTTTCCTTATTTATAATTTTATTTTGTAGTATTTCTCAAAGATTAATTTTTAGATATTCTAGGCAGAAAATGATATTTTAGCAGAATGATAGATTATTTAGAAAAAGATACCTTAATTATGTTTTAAAATTGATACTTAGAACTATTTATAATTCATAAGATTTGATATATTTATATTCTTTATGTTACTATAAACATGAGAAAATATGTATTAACAAATATCAGTCTTTTGGTTTAAGGGATATTTTTTATTTTCCATCTGTGGACATTCCAAATGAATGTACTATTTACATAACTTTAAAAATTTTTATATCTATTTACTGTGTGTGTGTGCATGTATGTATGTGTGTTGGCATACTTGTACCATAGTGTACATGTGGAGATCAGAGGACAACTTGATTCTCTTCTCCCACCATGTGGGTCTGGGGATTGAACTCAGGTTGTCAGGCATGGTGCATGGCCTTTTAACTGCTGAACTATTTTTTTTTTTTTAAGATTTATTTATTTATTGTGTATACAGTGTTCTGCCTGCATATATGCCTATATGCCAGAAGAGGGCACCAGATCTCATTATAGATGGTTGTGAGCCAACATGTGGTTGCTGGGAATTGAACTCAGGACCTCTGGAAGAACAGTCAGTGCTCTTAACCTCTGAGTCATCTCTCCAGCCCAACTGCTGAACTATCTTGTCAGCACTGTTTATATAACTTTTCAAAAGGATTTTTTTGGGGATATGGCAAGATCTACATTATTAGTCTTTTTGTAAGATGTTATCATGTACATTCTTTTGAATATCTTTATTTATTTTTTTATATATTTTTTTGTTTGTTTTTTTGTTTTCATTTAACTTTATTTTATGTGCATTGGTGTTTTGCCATGGGTGTCGGGTCCCCTGGAACTGAGGTTGCAGACAGTTGTGAGCTGTCATGTGGGTGCTGGGAATTGAACCCAGGTCCTCTGGAAGAGCAGGCGGTGCTCTTAACCACTGAGCCTTCTCTCCAGCCCCGAATATCTTTATTAAATAGAAATTGGAACACCAGAATTGAGCATTGTATACCCATGTATCCATTTCCAAGTTCTGTCAGCACATTTCCAGTATGCTCCATCTTCAACTCTGGTCACTGTCCCTTTCCATGTATGTGGATGAAGAAAATCATAGAAAATATGCTTCATATTTAAGTAAAGTTCCTTGTTTTACAAATAGCCTTATCTCTAAAATATTCAGATAAATACACTTAGTTTTCCCACATATAGAATGGTAAAAACAGATTTTGCTAATTTCTAATTCCACTCTTGAAACTGGTAAGTGGTTCAAATTAAATTTGCAGCTAAGCCATTATAAGAGAACTGGTAAACATTTCGCTTTAGATAGACCCTTCCTATTTAGGGCTAGTGTTTCCAGAGCATGTCCTTTGGTCTGTTAAAAGTGCTGTGAGCTATTAGCTGTATTTCCAAGAAAAGGTTTGGTTATCAAGTAAATTTTAAATTTTCTTTTTGTGTGAGGCTGGGGGGTGGGGTTGATGAAAACCCAGGCAGGGTCTTATACATGCTATGTAAATGCTCTTCAAATTCAATATTTTACTCTTGAGTTATCAGAGAACACCTCAGCTTAGTAAAATCTCTATAAGTACTGAAGGAAGGAAACTTAGTTCGCCTTGTTTAAATTCAGATTCTTTGGTAATTTGACCAGGTACCTTTTTCTTTTTCTGTAAATACTTGTCAGTGTCATTGTGGAAAGTCAGTGTTTTGAAAACAGTTTGGGAAATATTGTTTTGTTTATTGAAACACCAACACAGATATGTGTGGATTACCTAAGTATTCCCAGCTCAGAATGAATTGAAAGATAATCTCCCAAAAGAGATACAGAAATGTGTGGTTTTTTTTTTTTTTTTTTTTTTTTGGTTTTTCGAGACAAGGTTTCTCTGTGTAGCTTTGCGCCTTTCCTGGAACTCACTTGGTAGCCCAGGCTGGCCTCGAACTCACAGAGATCCGCCTGGCTCTGCCTCCCGAGTGCTGGGATTAAAGGCGTGCGCCACCACCGCCCGGCTCAGAAATGTGTGTTTTAAAAGAAAATTCATCCCAGTACTCGGGAGGCAGAGCCAGGTGGATCTCTGTGAGTTCAAGGCTAGCCTGGTCTACAAAGCAAGTTCCAGGACAGGCTCCAAAGCTACACAGAGAAACCCTGTCTCGAAAAACCATTAAAAAAAAAAAAAAAAAAAAAAAAGGAAAGAAAATTCGCAAGTAGTTGTGGTGCCCAGTTTAGAAGCCATTGCAGTATTGGATATGGCAATTGTATGTGGAACCCTTCCTTAGCATTACTGTCAAAATCAGTAGTGATTATTAGGGATTATTCCTCAACATTCTACCTATGCTGTAAATTGCTACCAATTTTTAAGGAAATTTTGTTTTTTAGGTTCAGGCAGCGTTAAAAAATGTTACTCAGTTCTGTGAACTCTTTTTTTTTTTTTTTTTTTTTTTGGTTTTTTGAGACAGGGTTTCTCTGTGTAGCTTTGCACCTTTCCTGAAACTCTCTTTGGAGACCAGGCTGGCCTCGAACTCACAGAGATCCGCCTGGCTCTGCCTCCTGAGTGCTGGGATTAAAGGTATGCGCCACCACCGCCCGGCTCTGTGAATTCATTTGTGAGTGTAATACCAATTTATATAGTCCAGGCTCACTGTTCTTCATTTTGTTAATATAAATCTATATTTTATATTTCTTTATTGAGTAAAATTTAAGTATAATTTCAGACATTGCAGCACATGTATTTGTTAATACCAGAATCTGTTCATTTTAGTTAGTAAACAATCATCCATAGGCGTTCTTTTTTCCAGTTTGTGGTTTCCTGAATACTGTCGACACTACTAAATGCTGGTGGTGGAGATAAAGTATTCAACTTGTAGCCAACCAGAGTATGAGTTACTGCATTTGGACTTGCTTGTGCAAGTCAGTAAAAAAATAATTGTATGATATTTACATAAGGTACTGAATAATATGAAGGTCTACTGGTTATAGTTTTGTTTGTCAAATAAAAATCTTTTTTGTAAGTAGACTGATAATATTTTTCATAATTTCAACATGATAAAATTATTTTTCTTCATGTACCTCATTGACATCTATATATCTGTCTTCAATAAACCCATCATCATCTACCACAAATGAATGTAGCTGTTCAAATATTACTGTGGTGTCTTCAGAGTTTGTATCTGTTATTTGTGAAAGAGAACTTGGGTTTCTAGGAAGACCATTTTCATAGGGTTCTACTTCATGCTCTTCCAGGCGGTGATGATTGTAACTGAGCAGAATATTGTACCACACTGGACCCTTGACAGCAGTAAAGATGAGGAGCGAAGTTAGCAGGACAGTGAGGCCAACACCAGCAAGGAGAGCCCAGCTTTTTCCAAGAGGTTCATGTTCTTAAACAGAAGAGAGAGAGAGATGTCGTCAAGTTGACAAAAGTCAAGCAGTGTTGGGAAGGAACATACTGTACAGTTTTCTTTGAATTAAAGTTACTACTACACTAAAGAAAAATTTGATCAAAGAACATCGTTTTCCAAATGACTAAAGGTTGAGCAATCGTAATTAAAAAACCCAAGATGCTCCAAAATCTGTAACTAACTCTTTGAGCACTAACATAATTTCACAAGTGGAAGTCCATAGCAGTTCTCAAGGGACAGGTCATAGTAAAAACACAAATGTCCCAAAAAATAGTGTATAAAATTATCTTTAGACTACAAACATGTGGTATTTTTGACACCTAAGTGAATTTTGTATATAGACTTGGATCTCCTCTCATGTATATGCAGTAGTCCATAAAATAAAAAACCAGGTATTGTTACTAGCTTACATAAAACCATTAACTTATACTTGTGAAGTGTGTTGGTTTGGCTAGTAAAAATAGTTGGCTAACTAATACATAATTTCAAGTGCATAATATCTAATATAGCCTCAGTTGGAATCCTAGTATTTTGTAAATCTTCATTGAGATGGATTGTTCTTTTACATTGTTCATAGAAACTCAAAATAGTGAAAGACAAGAAGAACTGTGTGTTTAGTCTGACACCTTCAGCAATAGTAATATTCAAAACCAGTAAGTTACCTGAGTTCCGTGTTAAGTTGTTTAAAGAGCCATTGGAAGTTGAATTCCTCATGGACTGAAAATCAATGTAAAGATCTTCAGTTATAGTGGAAATAAATTTAGAGTGGCATTCAGTTGTAAAGGGTGCTGACTTGATGCTGTAGTGCTTTAGGTTATCTGGATAGTTACACATGGTGATGCTCTCATTTTCTAGAAAAGAAATAAATTAAGATGTATTATAGGCAAGTGGTTCATAACACAATGTTGATCTGGAATTTTTGGTAAGTCAGTCTCATTAGAGAGACAATAAGAAGGACTGGAAAGATGTCTCAGTGCTTAAAGCACTTGCTACTCTTGCAGACAGTCTGTTTAATTTCCAGCTTCTACATGGTGGCTTATGAGCATCCTTAACTCTAGTTCTGGGGGATCCAGTGCCCTCTTCTGATTTTTGCAGAGACCAGGTACACATATGGTACACGTACATACATGCAGGCAAAACACTTAAACATATACTATAAAATAAATGAACCCAAAATTTTTTATTGTAAGAAAAGAACTCTTGATGAATTTGCATGTCAACATGAGTGTTGATGCATATTCTTGTTATGCAGGTTAAGTGCAGTATGTTTTGTTTAGTTTGTATGTTAGAAAATTTTATGATTAAGATTATTGTTATAATCTGGATCCTAAGCAGAGCATGCTATGCAGTTAACAAAATAAGACAAGACCTTGAGTTCAAGGCCCAGTGCTGAAAAACAGATAACCAACCAGACAAAACTAAGGCACCTCTTTTTGTGTATTTTGTGGTACAATACACCAAAGAATATATAGGAAGTACTTGAAGGAAAATTAATCTTTCTTTTAAGCTAGGATCTCAGTGTGTAATCTATCTGCCTCTGCTTCCCAAATTCTGGAATTAAATGCACTACCACAGCTGACTTGTAAAATTAATATTATATAATGACTCTGCATGTCTAATACTATCATCTTGCAGATACCAGTGTTGAAATTACAACTCCCCCCACCAGGTGGGGTGAGAGTGTGTCCATTCTGCAGTTTCTCCCAGGTGGTTTGTTTGCTTTTTTTTTTTTGCTTGGTTTCGTTTGGTTTGGTTTGGTCTTGGTTTATTTTTAACTGTGATAGAGATGAAGTTCAAGGCCCGAGTCTACCATTGAGCAATACTTCCAGCCCAGCTGTTTTCTTTCATCTGTTCTAATTCTGACATAAGCCATCAAAGCTCAGTCACATTGTCTTCTCGCTTACCTAATGTCACATCAGACTTGTTCAGCCAGTTCTGCAACTCAAGTAGACTACAGCTGCAGTTCCATGGATTTCCATCCAAGGTTAGTAACTCCAGATGGAGTAGTGGTGGTCCTTCAAAATGCCTTATCAGGTTGCCGTGAAGATTCAGAACTTTCAGGTTGTTTAGGGGCACAAAAGTACTGGGATTCAGTTGTAATATTTTGTTTCGGCAGAGATATAACTGTTTTACTTCATTTAAGCCAACAAATGAGCCCTGTTCAATTACACTGATGTAATTTCCACAGAGATTTAAAATTTCTAGGTTGGAGAGATTACTGAAACTATTATTATATATGACAGTAATGTTATTCTCCATCAAGTAGAGCTCAGTGAGTAAAGAATATATCTGTAGCACCCTGATGTCTGAAGCATTCAGAGTGATCTGATTATAACTGAGATCAAGGATGGTAACATTGTTACTGATATCCTCTGGAATCAAGGAATAATTCCTTTTGGTGAAATTACATTTGACTTCCTAGAAAAGAAAAAAAAATGGAAATGCTTTAATCAGGAAAAATTCTAATGAGTAATTAAAATTACATATTCAAGATGAGATGTTGGATAAAAATAATTCTGGAAAAAAATTATACTTCACTGTGAAAAAGAAAAATCAAATGTGTTTCTTTATGGAGATGAAATACTAAAGATTAAGGAAATTTTGATTCAAAGTACTCAAGGAGAGTACTTCGTTCCACAGATAACTTCTACCTGTTACTATATAAGCATTACAGAAAGAATATTGCCCAACAATCTCTGTTGGTTTAACAGCTCAAAACTTTGGTATTTGAAAAGTAAATAATTGCTTTCTATCAAATATAGAACCATGCTGGATGTATGATGCACACTTTTAATCCCAGGTAGAGGCAAATGGATCTCTGTAAGTTCAAGGACAGCCTGATTTACATAATTGTCACAAAACAATATCAAATTAAATCATGATTGTTAATGAGCTAGAATACAAGAAATTATTCCCATATGTAACTATATACTGAATAAATAGTTCTTGGTGGATCTGCAGTTGAAATAATGCAGTCACATGGTAGTAAGTTACATCAGTGAGTTTTTCTTACATTTGATGATTTTTATTGATTGACATGGTGAGGTTCTTTTTGTGTGTGTGTGTGTGTGTGTGTGTGTGTGTGTTGGTGTTGGTTTTATTTGCAGTAGGGTCCCAAAGTATATTGTATGATCTGGCCAACTCCTGATGATCCTGCCTCGTGCTAATACATTCTGGATTACAGGTATATGTCAACACAACTGGCTTAGTTGCTTAAAATGTCTATTTTAGGCAGAACTGGGAATTGAACCCAGGCATTAGAAGAAAGCTCTCCTACTGAGTTCTATCCCCAGGCTATATCTCATTTGTTTACATTATTATTATTTTGTATATGTACAATATGTGCTTACCTGTGTATCAGGAGAAGGAGAGGTCAATGTTGGATGTAATTCAGATCCTCTTGCTTGCACTAAACAATTGCCTCAGCTCTCTTGCCCCCATCCTATGTTTTGAACTGATTTTTTTTGTCTTAAAACTAATCTCTGATTTTATAGTGAAAATTTACAGAGTTCTACTTTATTCAGCTTTTAAGTTTTTTTTTTTTAATTTTTATGTGTTTGTGTGAGTTCCTGCATGTAAGTATTGCATCATGTATCTGCTTGGTATTTGTGGAGGCCAGAAAAGTGCCTCAGATCTCCTGGATCTGGAGTTACACATACATATGAGCCAACATGTGGGTTCTGCGAACTGAACCTGGGTCCTCTGCAGGAGCAGAGAGTGCTCTTAACTGCTGAACCATCTTTTTATTCCCACTTGGTCAGCTTTTAAGAAGATTCATTTTATAGAACAAGGAATGCTTTTGCTCAGAGGTTACAGAATTGTAGTATATAGATAAGTAAATATTTAATTTTTATTTTATATTAAATTTTATTTATATTTGTATGTGTGTATGTGTGTGTGTGTGTGTGTGTGTGTGTGTCCATGCACATGCATGTCATAGCACGTGTGGAAGCAGAGGACAGTTTTCAGGAGTCAGTTCTCACTTTCCATAGTGGGTTTTAGAGTTGGAACTCAGGTTGCTACCCTTAGTGGCAAGCACTGTTTGTTAGCTGTGAAGACACCTCCTCACTGGTTCTCAAGAGTTAATTTTTAGTAGTTCATCAGTTGTCTTTATTTTTCTTTTATACATTTTACTCCTTTTTTTTTTTTTTTTTTACTATTGATAGTAAAAACTTACTGTTTCAAAGGCCTGGCTTTTGTCAAACAGTAGTATTATAGAGAATGGCCAAAACAAGGTCATGAAGCATGTGACTTTCATATTGAAGGCCTAAGAGAAAAGAGATAAACTTTAGAGGTTGAGGACATACTGATTTCCTTTTTCCCTTTTACATGTATTATTCTTTTTTTTTTTTTTTTTTTTTTTTTTGGTTTTTCGAGACAGGGTTTCTCTGTGTAGCTTTGCGCCTTTCCTGGATCTCACGCTGTAGACCAGGCTGGCCTCGAACTCACAGAGATCCGCCTGCCTCTGCCTCCCGAGTGCTGGGATTAAAGGCGTGCGCCACCACCGCCCGGCATATTATTCTTTTAAAATACATAAAACATGAAGCATTTACATTGCCTTTCATTATCCTGTATACTAACCTTAAACAGCCCCTGTGACTATTCAAAAATACTGGGACTCAGTATTTTTCTAGTGTGTCTTCTTAGCTTCAGAGCTAATGAAAAAACAAAACTTATAAACAATTTATTTATTTATTTATTTATTTTTTTTGGTTTTTCGAGACAGGGTTTCACTGTGTAGCTTTGCGCCTCTCCTGGAACTCACTTGGTAGCCCAGGCTGGCCTCGAACTCACAGAGATCCGCCTGGCTCTGCCTCCCGAGTGCTGGGATTAAAGGCGTGCGCCACCACCGCCTGGCGGCTTATAAACAATTTAAATACTTGTGTTAACAACTTTCAGCATATATGTAGATTTAAAAAAAAGCCCAGAGGAATGTGTATTTACAATTATGTGCATACTTAAGAATATATTTAAATGGATGCTTCTTGATATTTCAATTTTGGGTGTTGTATTGATATTATAATTGATTTGTAGTGGTGGAAGATAAAAATTGCTACTTTTTTCTACTGTAATCTCTAGTACATTGTCTGTTCACTTTCTAACAGATGCTAAATGAATTTTGTCAGATGAATATTCAGGGTTTATAATATCATGATCACATGTAAATTATTGGTTACTGAACCATGTTGGTGGTTTTTTACTCTTTTTGCTCTTTTTGGGGGGCCACCACCCAGCTTCCCAATAAATCACACATGGAGGCTTATTCTTAATTATGAATGCCCAGCCTTAGCTTGACTTATTTCTAGCCAGCTTTTTTTTTTCATTTTTCTTTATTAAGAAATTTTCTACTCACTCCACATACCACCCACAGATTACCACTCCTCCCTCCTCCCACCCCCAGCCCTCTTTCCCAAGCCACTCCGCATCCATACATCCCCCAAATCAAGGTCTCCCATGGGGAGTCAGCAGAGCACAGCACACTGAGCCTAGGCAGGTCCAAGCCCCTTCCCACTGAACCAAGGCTGTGCAAGGCGTCACACCACAGGCACCGGATTCCCAGAAGCCTGCCCATGCACCAGGGACAGATCCCGATCTCCCTGCCTGGGTGCCCCCCAAACACTTCGAGCCAAACAACCGTCTTCCGTATCCAGAGGGCCTAGTCCAGTCCCATGGGGGCTCCACAGCCACCAGTCCACAGTTCATGGGCTTCCACTAGTGTGGCCAGTCATCTCTGCACATCCTCCCATCATGATCTCGACATCCCTCGCCTGCAGAATCCCTCCTCTCTCTAATCAGTTGGATTCCCGGAGCTCAGCCTTAGCCAGCTTTTCTTAACTTAAATTTTCCCGTCTGTCTTTTGCCTTTGGGCTTTTCCCATTCTCTTACATACTCTTACTCCGTGACTTGCTGTGTAGCTGGGTGGCTAGGTGGCTAGCCCCTGGAGTCCTCCTCCTTCTCTGGCTCTAGCTCTCTTTTCCAAATTTCTCCTTCTATTTATTCTCTTTGCCTGCTAGCCATGCCTATCCTTTCTCCTGTCTTGCTATTGGCCAGTTCTTTATTAGACCGTCAGGTGTTTTAGACAGGCACAGTAACACAGCTTCACAGAGTTAAACAAATGCAACATAAACAAAAGTAACACACCTGAAAATATTCTACTTCAGAACCATGTAGCATGATCACCGTTTCCATTTTAGACTTTTTTTCTGCTAAACTGAGCTTTTTATTTGGTCATGAATTTATTCCCATGCTGTCCTATAGCAAACTTCTCAGTAAGTAGTGCATAGTAAGTATTTCCTCATTGTCAACTACACGAAAAGCCTCTCCCGGAGCCTGTTGCTGATGGCCATTGTCCTACTGTCTTTAAGTTTCAGTACTTACGTTTTTCTCACTCCTCTTCGTCTTGTCTAACTTGCCTCTCCCTAACTCTCAAAACACCAAAAGTCAATGTGTTCAACTTCATGATCTTGTGCCTTTAAAGTTTGCTTTATCAGTGAAATTGGGTACCTGGTTGTCCCTTCCAATCTGGAAGTTATATCACTCAGTTCTGAGAAAATTATTTTCTGAATTATTCCATTGATTGGTAATACTATTTGTAGAACTGCCTAAATTGAGTATTGTACCATCTGGAATAACTTTTTTTTTTCTTTCAAATCCTTACTTTCCTATATCTCTTATATTTTTGCTCTACTTTTTGGAGACAATCTCAACTTTATCTTTTTTCTCCCTACATCCTTTAAATTCTAGACCTCTTTTCATTCTCTTAATATTTTTTTTCTTTTGTAGGTCCTGCTGCATGGATATATTTTCTTCTTCCTCCTCTTCCTCCTCCCTCCCTTCCTTCCTTTTTTCCACCCTTTGTGCTTTTTTGTTGTCTTTTTTTTTTTTATGAATAGCTTTTGTGTTCCCAGGTTTTATTTTTTCCAGCTATGGAAGCTTTCTTCATGAATATTAATATTTTGCTTGGGGTAAAGTGGGAAACTAAGTGGCTGATAGAAAGCTATGTGTTTGTGTATGTATCACTGACATTCCTGTAGAATGAACGTGCTGGATTTGGGAGGAAATTCTCACTGTCGTTACCTTTCTTTCAGACTAGTTGTAGTCCATAGAACAACTTTTCTAAATTATTTCCTATACACGCAAGGCTCTGTAGCCATCATTCCAAGAACAGAGTGCTAAAAAGGTGGCTTAATACTGATTTTTGGTGTATCAGCTATAACTTCATCTCAATGGTGTTCCTCTGTTCATTTGGGCCTAGTATCCAGATTCCTCCACAGGAGAAGAAAGCTCTTCCCTTCTATAAAGGAGAAGCATCGTGTGTCAGAGCAGAGGTACGGAGGACTTCTTGCCTCCTCCTCTACTTCCAGAATACCTGATAATGGTAATTTCGGAACAATTTAAGTTCCTTTAATAGAAATGAAGTGGTTTTTCTGTTTTTTCCATTGTTAACATGGAAAAAAGTTTGCTTTTGCAGTTACCTTCTATTAATTTTCAGACTTCTAAATTTTATTACTGTTACTTTCTAGTCCATTCTCTCTTTTCTTGTGAGTTGATACTCCTCTTTACCTTGAACTTCTATTGTAGTCAAGTTTTGAATAGAAGCCAAAGTTAATAGGTGTATTTAATATGCTGCTCAAAGTAGAAATTGCCCCTTATTGAAAAGTAATATTCTTAGTTTTTATTTTCTATTTCATCTTTTTTTATGATGATGTTTTGTATTCTCTGTCTACCTATTTTCTCAAAGTCGTCACATGTTTGAAAAGATATAATTATTTCCTGTCATGTTTAGGGGTCTTTAAAATTTAATAACTTACACCTTTTAAAAGCACTTGTTATACTTAAGAATTTTAAGAAGATTATTGCATCTGACTGAGCAGAAGTAGAAAAACCGAGTAGAGTAAGAAGATTCTTTTCAAGTTACTGAAGCCTGTTTGCTCATAGGTGATAAGAATTTATTATTTTTCAATGTTGGACTGTTCTTGTCCACTTGTTCATTGCTTTCAATTTGTTGATCTGTTTAGCTTTATTTCCCTTCTTATTTCTTTTCAAGTTTACTAGAAAAATCTACTTTGTCTCCTAGATTTTATACAATGTAAGTTTTATATGGTGAACACTCTATCACTCTTTTAGAGCCAGAAGTGGGATCAAGCTACAACTTACTCCACACCATTGGTCATAAAATGAAGATGCCTAGGTCTTTTATGAAAGCTAGCTTACCTGTGCTTAATAATCTCTAGGAATAGTTGTACAGCTTCTTTGATGGCTTGCACAGTGGTATGGCAAGCTTAGTACTGATATCCCGGTGATGTGCAGACATGAGTGAGGAGAGGTAAGTAATGGAGAAGTGCTAGTTTTTCAGGCATGTAAGATAAGGATGGTTAAAGAAAACAAATAGGCTACGAAAAAATTAACTGATTTAAGTGAAGAGTTGGTGTGGAACAGAAGCAAGTGAGGGCCGTACGTGGTAGTTCATGCTTTTAATCTCAACTCTAGGGAGGCAGAAACAGAAGGATCTCTATGAGTTTGAGGCCCCCTTGATGCTCATATGTGTTCCAGAACAGCAAAGAGTACATAGAAAGACCTTGGCTCAATAAACAAAAAAACAAATGAAGATTGAAGTGGAGTCAAGGTAGGGCTGTAAGCCTGTGGCAAGAAGAAGCTAGAAGATCATGTTATATTTATCATCTAGTAATTGTTTTCTATAGATTACTGAAAGAAAATTATGAAGATTAGAAACGTTTTTCTTTAAATGAATTTTAGAGTTAAAAGTAGCATATAGTCAAGGTTCTACTGTCAACATACCTGCAATATCACTATGTTTAAAGTTTAAACCCACACTGTCTACAAACTTTTTCACGCATGCTTATATTTTTTGCTAAGGGAGAGATCAACAGAGAGTGAATGTTAACAGTTGTAATGCTGCATACATCCTCAGACAAAAATATTTCTTCAAAAGTTGATTTAAAAAGAAGTCAGTTAAAAAAAAAAAAAGACCGTTAAATACAGCCATTTCTTTTGAGGTTTTTCTCAATTTGTAAGTTATTTTGAAATGATTTTTGTGTTTTAAAAGAATTAATAAAATCAGGAAGAAATAGAGCATCAGTTTCTGTTAGCTAGTTTATGGATTTAAGAGCCTTACACCGGAGAACCAAATCTATACACAAGGGATAATGCTAGTACAGAAAGCATGTTCTTCTTAGGAAGTTTCAGTTCAAGTGTAGGAATTTGGGTTTATTTTTCTGTGACTTACTATATGTAGTGAGATAAAAAGACGCTGCACTTATTTTGATTTTGTTACATAAAGTCCAGAAGTAATTTTGTCCTTCAATATTTTAGGTATTTATACCATAATACAGTACATTTGGAGTGA